AAGAAAGGCGTTTGCTCTGATCTTTATTCCGTTTTTCCCTTCCAGTATTACGGGTATCATCTGCAGGACTACTCTCCCGGGGCGTGGTACACTTTCTTCAGTCACTCCACAGGTCGTATGATTAGTTTGCGTACCGGTTGCTGACGTTTCTCCTGCAGCTGCTTGCGGGGGATGGAATGTCGCAGCTGTTGGATTTAACTGTGCTGGCCCTAAGACTGCATGGAGTTGTGGGTGGTGTCTTCGCACACACTCTTCCACTGGACATGTTCCTTTCAGCGAAAAACATTCAATTCGATGTCCTCTTTTGAGGCAACGAAAGTACAGACCCAACTTTTTTGCTAATTCCCATCGTTCATTTACAGCTAATTTCTTCCAAGTCTTACATGATGTCAGTACATGTTCTCCCTTGCACACAAAGCATTCTACTTTTTCTCCTGAATTTGCACGAGTATCATTCCACACATCCTTCTTTTTTTTAACCCCTTGGGTTTGTTTGAATTTGCCTTGGGTTTCTCTTGTGCAGAATTCTCCTTAGTACTGGCAAAACCAAAAGCCATGTCTTGGACTTGAACCTCTGTTCCCAGCCACTCATCAAGATCGTTAAGGTCAACTTCCTTTGGCTACAGCTGTAACTTTCGCCTGCTCCACTTAACAGCAATTTTCGAAGGCAACTTTGTAACAATCTGCTGCATATTAGCTGCTGCTTCTAAATCTGCTTCATGACCATAAGTCTTCAGTGTTCCCACAATGGTGTGCAAGTTGTCAACAAACAATCTCAAACTTGACTTGTTTTCATCCTGAACTGCTGGTATCGCCAGAAACTTATTGATCAGTGACTTTGAAATAAGGGCGCGGTTTCCAAATCGTTGAGTTAACTCCGCAAAGGCCTTTTCATACATTGTACCATCAAAAAACATCCCAGCTATAGCTTTTTCAGCAGTTCCTTTAACTGATGCTTTAAGATAGATCATTTTCTGTGTTTTGGAAAGTCGTTGATCATTCACTAAAGTTTGAAACATGCCATACCAGTTTGGCCACGCACAAGGATCTCCATCAAATATGATAAGTTAAGTTTAGGGAGTGAAGTCATCATTGCTGACTTTGAAAAGACAGTGTGAGAAATCCACATTTCTCTCTTTACCAAGTAAAGGCTTAGAAATGTCATTCTCTTTCTCTTCATCCGTTTCCTCCTCCTCAGGGCTCACTGTTTTCAACCATTTCTTAACTTTCTGCTTGGAGTCCTTAATATCATTCATGGGTACATCTTCTTGCTTGACTTGGGGCGTTGTCTCGATCTTTACATTATCCCCTACCACTGAGTGATCCTCAAAATCTTTCATGCCATCAGACAAACAATATTCATCTAACTCTTCTTATAGCAGCAACGCCTCAATTTCCATCCTACCTGCCTCGTGTTCCGCTTCCTGAATTACTAGTTCTGCTTCAAGCTGAGCTTTCTGTGCTGCGATCTTAGCTTCCAGTTGAGCTTTCTCTTTAAGTTGCTTCACTTTCAGTTTAGCTGAATCAGCTTCCCTAGCCGCTGCTCTTGCACGTTCTTGTGACACAGAAGAGGTCGCTTTGCTGCTACGTCTCTTGCTTTTGCGACCAAGGCTTGTGATTGAAGAGTTTTCGGTTTGTTCCGCCCAAATTTTAGGTGCTTCTGGCTCGATGCGAGCTTTTGAGACCGTTTCACTGGTATGAGTTTTGACTTCACCGTACTCAACAGTTCTACAAATTAGTTCCTCTACAAGTGCTGGGGAATCCAATAACCATGTATCTGTTTCATGCAGTTCCTCATCATCCCCACACCACAAGGTTTGAAATTCTCCATGATTCTCAATCAATTGATTCCATGCTCGATTTAGTGGAGAACATGCAAGCTCAATTAACTTACCGTCTTTCTGTTCCTTCAGGTACTCAGTTATGATATTCATCTTCCGTGTCGAATTCCCTCGCATCGATTTTCTTCTGTTCTTGATTGTCTGGAGTTTGTTTTGACCGGGGACTTCAGTGTAATCGCTCAAATACCGCGGCAGGTTCCTTTAACGTTTCCCGATTTCACTTGGCTAGTCCATATCTGACACTTCCATCTACGATTTCGCCGATTTCTCCGCCGTGCTTGGATTCTACGTAGGTATAATCCTACACCAAATGTAATTTTATTGTATCCGGCTCGAAGGACCACTATGGAGATTCCTAGGCGTGAGAAATTCCATAAGGTTCCCGGTTTAAAACACACGTCAGACATTTTCCATGTGCTCACAACGACAACCTTTAATATTAGTTCCAGTCCCCCACACGGGGTGACACCTGGCGCTTACAAAAAACAAATAAACGAGAAATCGCGTGTCCATCGAAAATGATAATTGAAAATTTCCTACGAAATGCGATATTTGGATTTTGAAATATTGGTGATTTTCAAAAGCGTTCCGTGAGCTCCAAATTAAATTAAATGGTCCCGTTTTAGAATTAAACCATACCTCAATCCTTCTTAAACAAACTTATAAAATTGATACGAGCTTGCTTTCTTTTGTGCTTTCATGAGCAAAGTTCATTTGCATCTACTCGGGGCACTGAATTCCGCCATTGTACGGCTACCGACGCTCGTTTCAGTTTTCGTGAGTTTTCTAGGATAAAGAAGCAAGTCTGGAAGAAAAAAAACCTGACCACGTTTCTATGTTCACTATAAGGTGTCTCTGGGAAAAATATGACGGTTTTTCGACGTGTCCCACATTTTTCGATTTCCACGCGGTCAATTCGAAGTCGCTTTTAAGCCTTACATTTTTTCGCTGCGCGGTTTAAATGAAAGAACTTCAGAAATTCACGATTAGAATTCCCTCAAAAATGTTCACCGACAAACAAACTGGATTTTCATTAAGATATTAACTGAGAACCCTATTTACATTAGAACAAATACCACTTGCAAAGAGAATGTGCACTCAAGATTTTGGGGAATTCCGTTTACTGTCAGCGATTTCAGCTTTCAAATGATAGTTTTTGGCGTGTTTAAGGCGGGGGTAAAGCGTTCAAAGCACTTTCTGTGAATTTTAACGAGGAAGGCTTCAATTTAAGCTGAGACAATAGAAACAAATTTGTTTAAAAGAAAATAGTGTACCGCGAATGAGACGGCGTTTGATCAGTGCGCACGGCTCGATGTTGTTTTCTCTTAATTTTGCACCTTTCCTTGTGGTGCGGTCTATCAATGTTGTTCAAGACTAAAAAGTTAATAAGTCCTCAAAATGGAAATAAACTTAACATAATAAAATTCTACAACCGACCGAAAAAAAAAAAACTAGTCGCACATTTGCGTTCACTCGGGCTTTCTATAGGGAAAAAACTTTGTTTTTTCGTGCCTGCATTTTTTTTTCTGCTTGGTTCATGATCACGTCTACATACACGATGAGATTTGCATTTATACTCCTCTCGATCAACATTAGATAACTCAGTTGATGTAGCATGTTTCTCAATGGAAGGTTCACTTGTAAATGTTCGCTCAGAAAGAGATCTATCATGAGGTTCACGGACCGACCCGTTCCGAAAACGCTCGACACCTATTAGTGTGGGTCTACCGCGAACGCTGTGCGCATATTTTACGTTCTGAGCGTAGTACACACACTATCTGTGCCGGTTTTACACCACAAAAACTTCTCTTCTTCCGTTATTACACCATGCCATGTGCTTATCCGTTACAACGTCGCGCATGCTTTTCTCATATTATGTCATAAAAGCAATAAAACACAATTTATATGTTGTGAAAACAATCAAAAGGTCGTAAGCCATTCGGCTGCGCCTCTTGGTTTTCAAAATTTTCTCGTATTTTACGAACATCGCACCTGGTTTATTAGCCAGTAAAACAATAAAGAGCGTGGTTTATTGCTTAAATGAAATATAGATACGATAATGAAGCTTATGAATTTGGTCCAAAATTAGTTTTGTTCCACTGCGGTAGCTGTTGTAGGTGGGAGACCACGATTCTTGATACGAGTTGGATGTGCATTACTTGCTATCTGCATTTTGCTTGTGTTTGTTATCGTTTTTGATCTGTTTTGATATTCAACTTTTACGTTATCATAACCCATGCTATATTTTCTAAATTACCAAAATTGAGCTTTGTGAAAGTAGTATTAACCCTCTCCTGCCCCCTAACACTCCTATCCTACATGTACTTTGTCTGATCCTTATTGAACAAAATTTGGTGAGGGATGTTTTGGGCGCAGCTCTTTCTTTCACCCCATTATGGTTTTCTCCAGAACGAATGTGTGGCAAGCATTTTCTCCCTTATTTGAATTAAGCATTAACTTCTTTTATAAGACAACTTAACTTGGCATAATGGTATTTTACAAGTGACATCGCATAGAAAAGCTTACACTAGGCTATAAGGCAGAAAACTTTCACCATAAAAGGCAATTCTGGGCTAAAAATTACGACGTTAATAGGATGGCTTTCCTTCAAGAATTTCAAGGAAATCACTATCATGTTTTTTATTGAAGACGTTCAGTTTCAGAGGATTTGAAATGCGATGGAATTTGCCGAAAGAGTTTTCGAACATTCCTCTTCGACTTTGCGCAGAACTAAGAGGAGACCCCGTCCTTAAAATCCTTCCTTCAGCTTCTCTTGGTTAATTTTCTTGGAAATGACTTGCCTCACATTTTTTGTTTTGTCTCAAGCTGGCATTTTTCGTTTTTCTTTGGTTTTTGGCTCTGAATGTAAAACGTGAAACGTTATTAAAAGTACTGTGATTGCCATTAAGTTGCCTTGCATTTATGTTTCATAAACTCCAACATTTTGTAACATGTCTTTGTCCTTGAGAAATTCGAAATCATACGAAACTTTTCTCCTATATCCACCAGAAGTCCGGAAATATGAGAAACTTGTCAATAGCTGAGCTCGTACTTTACGGTGTTGAGCGAAAAAAAAAAAAAAACACCCAGCAAAAGAAATGTGAATTGTAAATTCAAAGGATAATTCAATTACTCATTCTCAGAACAATCAAGATTTACCTCTTCTTGAGCATGGGGCTCTTCTATGAACTTGGAGACGCTTAAATGCACTCTTCACCTCCTCTACCACAAAGGATAGAACACTCGTCGTTGAAATCATCTATGAAAGAAATACATTCGAACTTATTGACTTAGGTAGCGAGCATTAGGGCACCTAATACAATTTTAAACATTTCATTTAACCACATAGGATTTTTTCCAGGTTGAAACGGAACAATTAACAATTATTGGATGAGGTTGAGCATGATAGCGATAATTATCAAGGCCAAAGTTTTGTGTTACCTGCCAAAGCCGAAGGCTGAGGCGGATAACACAAAACTTTGGCCTTGATGATTATCGCTCTCATGCGAAAACCGAATCCAATAACTGTTAATTGTTGTTTCCCCTTCTTCAGACATTGCTTTTCTTTTTCCTCTTTCTTCTCATGGGGGTAGAGATCTCAGCGCTAGTGCTTGAGTCAGCTACCTCAAATTTGCAGTTCTCTTACGATTGTGTGCAGCTTTGTTAAAATAGTTTAACAAATAATTCGATTAAGTTTCCCCGTAATAGCATTCTCGTCCAATAAATTCCAAGTGATCATGACAAAATTGAATTTGTGTCCAAAGCTATGTTTGTGAACAGCGCAGTCATGCATGGATACTGATTGATAAGGTGTTTTAAATAATTATGTAATTATAATTAGCTTCGAGGGCACTGTTTTCAACAATTTTCGACAAAACATTCCCACCACACAAAGGCAAAACTACAGTGTTTCAAAATTCGTCTTCTTTGAAGAGCGTTCTCGAAATTATAAAAGCAACTATATCTGTGGTAAATTTAGGCAGAGTAGTTCGTATATGGTAGGCTGAAACGCAAAAAATAAAAAAACATCTTTAAAATTTTACCAGCGTTTAAATTGCTCAAAAGTTTCCCACCAGATTCAGCCTAGAAGCCAGCGTGACTGATTTCTGTCAATACTTCATTTTAAAAGCAATTCTGTACTTTAGTGTTTTGATCTTTAATCTGTCGAGTATACCACACTCAATCTCTGGCCCACTTTACGTTTATGGAATTTGTTTTTAATTTCAGAGCCATCTGAACATACACCAGATGGAGAAGATCTTAGTAAATAAGAAGAAAATCAATCTTACCTTATAAGTTCTACTTTGGGATTTGGTTTAAAGCCACGGTACAGCTCTCATGGCGAGCTCTCTACTGAAATATAACGACGTAAATATAATTGGAAAGACGTAAAACACAACTGTTATCAATAATCATTATTTGTCGCTTATGCAATCAGTAGACATTTTGAGAAACATTGAGGACATGAAATAATCGAAAATACAGTGAAATGAGCGAAATTACGAGATGATTCGTTAAAATCTTGATACCATTTCCGAGTGAATGTGACAAAAAAGTGTAAAGTAATTGTTTGTAATTTTAGTGCCAGCTGAACATACCCAACAATGGAGATGTTAGGCCATCCCACTTTTTTAGCGTCGTCCGTCCGACGCAGATTTTCGTGTTTTCGAAAAAAAAAAAGTTATGTAGCGGGCAATGACACATTATTCAAACAAATGTCACTTTAATCTCAAGGTTGAAAAGTCATGGATGCTGACTGATCAATATGCAATTTTGATGCTTCATCCTTTTTTCGCTTTTCTCGTTTGAGTTTAACCGCGACGTCGATTTTTTCTTCCTCCATTACCGCCATGTTGACTTTGTAACCACGTCTTGATGTTTCCAGGCTCCACGGATATTACGCTGAGGTAACGGGCCTCCTAGTTCCAGACTCCTTCTCCAATTT